TTTCGGCCTCTTTTCGAGTGACACATCCCTGTCTGAAATGGAAAATCGAACACGCTAAACTAAAAAACAATGTAGGATGTATTAGAATCAAAACAATTCCCGCGAGGGTGCATGACTCCCGTATGAAAGCAACAGGAATGCTGGTTAGAAAATTAAAATTCTAACCCTGAAGGAGACCAGTCTAGTAAAACAGAATTATTTTTCTGTCCTGAACACCCTAATAAGTAACAAAGTCTGCAATTTACGCAGGTCCTAAGCGAAGAGCATCTTTCATGTGGAAGTCTGTCCCAAGAAAGCGCGCACCTTTGCAAGGACTACAATCTTCAGTCATGAGAGAAATAGAGCTTATATCTTTCACACAGGAAAAAATTTGACGCCAGCGTCAATTTCTTTCGACACTCTATTCTCCTCCAAACCTCCACTGAACTTTGGCAACATCCTCTCTCAACAGATTTGATTTCAATTTAAAACTCTACAGACATTTTATTGTTGTGTCTGGCAAGAGAACGGGTTTGGGGAGTTCAACCTCTCTGTGAGCCTCAGACACAGCAGATTTTTCAAAAGAATTTTGTTTAGGTTAAAACATGTGCTGATAAAAGGTATCACCTTTCCTTTCTTATAATATTTAAGTGTTATTTGCGCCTAGCCTATTTCAGTGTGTTTAGCCTGTGCACAGACACCCCGGCCTTCGCTAAAAAAATGTCGGGAAGTTTTTAGAGGAGGGGGCGGCTGTACACGGACTAATTTGGGTTACAAGTATGACAAGACCGTATTCGAAAGAACTTTGTTTAGCGGAATATTGACTTCGGAGCAGATAGGGATACCACGCTTTAGAATTCTAACCATGCAGGATTCTTATCTTTTTTTTAACCATTACCGCCTCGCTTCGTCTGGTTCTTTTGATAATAAGAATTGTGATGAGATAAATAAATTTACTTTGATTTTGTACCGAAAAACTCATCATACAATTCCACAGTAATAGACTACTAGGAGTATAGAAGCACTGGTTTTACCATCTGTTTTATCTTCTCCCGCCGACAAATTTCCATTATTATGATTCATTATGTTCAGAAAATGCCTCACAGACTCTCTTTAGAAACTTACTATTTTATTCATTTCTCTGAGATTTGTTTTACATTTAGTCATTACATGTGCTGAAAACTGATCTACAAAACCTGATTAAATGAGATTCATGAATGTACTTGAAATCGCACCACCTTGATTAACGTTAGCGGGGGAGAGGTAAAACTATGCCTTCTAGGTAATAAGTCCCAAATGGCATTTTTGGTTTGTTTATTTAAATTAAGCCTTGCTAAAGCTACGAACATGAAGCGTAAAGCAGTTTTTGTTTCGGTTTTGCAGATACAGTCTACTGGTGCATAGAGATACAATGGATATGCTGCTAAAAAGGGCTACGTATATTTACATCAACGAGAGACTACCTTGCTACTGAGGAAGAGTCTTTTTTAAGTTTAATGTTTCAAAGTTATTGTAACTTTACCACCGTGTTTATTAACACCCGCTATGTTCTGCTCCCCCACCGGAAAAACTGCCCCCTCCCCCTCCAAGTACCATGGTAGCCACAACCTCGCCCAAAACAGCCAGGGGAAGCCGGACATGTTCCCCCAGTTCCCCCGTTGGAAACTCAAAGATCTTGTTACAATTCCACTATCGCTTTCCCATCTCCTCTTAATCCTGCTTCTGTAGGCTTACTTCTTGCGGATCTTGGAACACGAGGAACCAGAGCTTATATCTGGCAAACAGGAGAAATGTGAAGCCATCGCCAATTTCTTTGTCTAGGCAAACTATGAGTACTGAAATCTTGGGAATAAAATGCGTAACATAACGGACAATAATAATACAGGCGTTAATGACCATAGAACTCGTCGTATTGTGAAACATGATGCGCAAGTTGTTAGACTATATTTCACCAAAGGGTTGATAAAATTACAATTGTTTAAGACGAAGAATAGGTTGAAAGTAACATGTTTTTTTTCTTCATTAAAGTACAGGAAGATTAAGTGACACTTATGAGCATTATTGAACTTTTCCAACTCTAATTCCTGATTTACCTTCCTAACATAAGTTCTTTGATCTACTTGAACATTAAGCTAGCCCCATTTTCTTTGGGTTAGAACTCTGATGAGGAACGTAAATAACATTAACGCCTCAAAGTTATTATAACTTTACCATCACCTTTATTAACACCCGCCATGTTCTGCTGATCTGTACCGACATTAAATGATCCCCCTCCCCCAGCGGTACCTTTAGTTTGAGTTCCCACTACTCCCCCACCGGAATAACCTCCCCCTCCCCCNCAATTTCTTTGTCTAGGCAAACTATGAGTACTGAAATCTTGGGAATAAAATGCGTAACATAACGGACAATAATAATACAGGCGTTAATGACCATAGAACTCGTCGTATTGTGAAACATGATGCGCAAGTTGTTAGACTATATTTCACCAAAGGGTTGATAAAATTACAATTGTTTAAGACGAAGAATAGGTTGAAAGTAACATGTTTTTTTTCTTCATTAAAGTACAGGAAGATTAAGTGACACTTATGAGCATTATTGAACTTTTCCAACTCTAATTCCTGATTTACCTTCCTAACATAAGTTCTTTGATCTACTTGAACATTAAGCTAGCCCCATTTTCTTTGGGTTAGAACTCTGATGAGGAACGTAAATAACATTAACGCCTCAAAGTTATTATAACTTTACCATCACCTTTATTAACACCCGCCATGTTCTGCTGATCTGTACCGACATTATATGATCCCCCTCCCCCAGCGGTACCTTTAGTTGGAGTTCCCACTACTCCCCCACCGGAATAACCTCCCCCTCCCCCTCCAATAACCATAGCAAACCCACCTCCGCCAAAACCACCATTGGAAGATGGACATGTTCCCCCAGTTCCCCCTTTGGTAAAACTCAACGCCTTGGTTGCAATTGCAATACTGCTTGTCCCATCCCCTCTTAGTCCTGCTCCTGCTCCAGACCTTAAATTAGAATCACTGTTCCCTGTGTCAGCATTGCAGACTTGTCCCCCACTGCCCCCTGCTCCTCCACATTGAGTCCCATTCGCTGTCGCCTGACCTGGGTCACCGTCGGTAAATTGGTTACTTGCTGTTCCTCCTCCCCCTCCCCCACCGGCAATTATAAGTGGAGTGTCATCAGACAGGGTTACAAACGTTCCACCACCCCCTCCCCCTGGTCTGTCAGGAAAGCTTATAGATGTACCACCTTCCTGTCCGACTAGGATTTTCAGTTGAGTTCCTTGTGAAAGTTTGAAGGATCCTATTATCTTTGCCCCTAAGCCACCAAGCGTCCAAGGAATCGGATTAGATTGTGTTTCGGCAGAACCATTTCCGCCAGAACCACCTGATGCTTCAATAACGTAAGTTCCAGTCACGGGCACAGTCCAAATTTGGATTCCGTTGTTTAAAGTAACTTTTCCTTCCAGGGACGTTCCTGCATATCCAGATATATCACTCGGTCCAGTTTCTCCTCTAGCACCCAGTGTCGTAAAGGCATATTTATGGTCTGAAGTAACTAGAGAAAAGGTGAACAATCACTAAAACGAGGATCTGAATAGGGGACCACATATCGGTTGTCCGTTAAAATTTTCGGCCTTGTCGGGTGTCGGTAAATCTTGGTTAATGATTAAAATTTAATAATTTATTAATAATCGTTATTTAATTCACTCACTTTAAACTCTGTACAAGAGTAAAACTTCTTCATTTCGCGTAGATTAATCATTTCATTTTAAAAGAACCTTATCTAAAGTCTGGTTAGCTTAAGCTGCGCGATTGTTTGCGCCACTTTGAGCAGTCTTTAACCAGTTCTTCCCAGTTCACAGACCAGCGAAGTAATCAAGAGAAATAAGTGGTCGAAGAGGAAACGCCTAGTCTAATCTTTGAGATGAGTCGGATTTTTGTTAAGTTATTTTTAGTCACTGAATTCTGCTCCCGGGAAATGAGCGCGCACTTTCCTGGATTTTCTCCGAAAATGCGAAAATGAAGAGAAACAAAGGCGCACCCTTTGAATGGTCTCAAATGAGCTTGAGCTGCTGGCACGAAATAGGCAGAGCTCTATACAGGCCAGGAAAAAAGCGAAAATCGAACCTACGCGATTTTATAACTATTTTACACAAGTAAGTTGATGACAGGAAATTCTGTAAGTAACGAAATAGGGATTTAAAGTGATTTACCTTCACGTATACTTTTGATAAAAAATGGGAAATAAAAAATACGATTTTTTCCTGACTAAAAACGTTCCCACAATGTCGGACCATGTCGGTTGTCGGTTAATATTTTTCCTGTCGGTAGTCGGTAATTTTTTTCTCGTTTTGTCGGTAGTCGGTTATATTTTTGGCCGTTTATCGCTAGTCGGTTAACCCCATTCACACCCTCTAAAACGTCTAGGACAGAGGAAGAGTTAAAAGAGGTCAATCTATTACTACTAAACAACCGGCACCAGCCCCCCCTCCTCCCCTCCCTAACCGGGACCAAGTAAACCATCATCTGCCTGTCTGTTAACTCACCATTTCGTCCTCCGCCGGCTGAAATATCAGGCCCCTAAAATGAATAAGGTAGTTCAGGTCAATTTGTAGACTAAAGAAATGTCC